GACCTGCCTTTCCAGCTGCCCTATACAGCTCTCTAATTGCTCCCTAGTGTCTTCCATAGACCCATAAAAGAACATCAGCCTGCATCTATTTTGGAAGCTGCAGTTAGGTACATCTGATCCATTGCAATGCAATTGCACTGTGCACACAACAAGGTGTGCAGACCATATAACAGGGAAAGTAGCCCAGAGCCCTTGGAGCCAGTGTACTGTGCAGACCTGATGGCTCTATGGGACCTGTTTGTCTTAATTTTCTGGCAGGACTGAATTTGGGGGACTCAGAAAAGCCACTTCTCTTTCTTAGCTTTTGCTTTCAAATCATTGTTCAGGCTAGGGAGATACAGATGTCTCTGAACTCTGCCTGAGGAAGGTAAGAGGAACAAGCATTTGTCTCCAACACAGAGTCCCAGCTGTCCAAAGTGTGTGTGACACGTGGGTGACCCCTCCAACATGTGCCACTGCCTGTCAGCGGTGTCCTGCAGTGCCTCCTTCCCACCCCTGCAGCAGTCTTGCTCTTTACCAGCTCATTTACTTTCCCCAGAAGGCAGCTCTGCTAGCATAGTGCCCGCTTTTCACACAGCCTTCTACTTTTTCCTGAAAAGATTTGATTTTGCAGACATGAGACAATTTTCATGACAAGTATGTGCCACACACTTGGAAGGGCTGGAAGCTCAGGACTTCCCACCACATTGTGAGCAGAGGAAGGAGAAGAGAAAGCATGAGCCTCATGCTGGAAGCAAGACAGAGAGATCTTCTTACGCTGCCACAACTTTCTCTCTCATTGCCAGGGACTGATGTACTGATAAAATCCACATCTTCCCATACACTGTTTCCTAAGAACACGCAGAAGCCCAAAGCTGATCTTTCTTCAGTAGAAACTACTAAGGAGCTGGAAATCATTTGATCCGCAGTGCTGCAGGAGCTTCCACAGCTGCAGAGCCATGAAACCAGTAAAGTCTCAGTGAGCCTGTCTGAGTAAACGCTGTGCGTGCTCCTGGGAAGCTGAACCCTGGAGACTTTAAGACCCGGGAAATTTCTTCTCCCTTGCTTGTTTGCTGCTGGTGTCCTTCCCAGTTCACGCTAGGCTCGTATTCAAGATGCAGGTGCAAGTACGTGCATGCTCATGGGCACACAGACACACACTCACATGCAAGCATGCATGACACTAATGTGACTGGCCACACAAACCAGCCCAGAGAGAGCTGTGCCTTCACCAACACCCACAGAAACAACAATGTCACTCACATAACAAGGTCGCTCCTCTTCCTTCTCTCTGGCTGAGCAGGTTTGAAGATCACTATAATGAAACATGCACACCCCTTCCTTCTGTAGATGCAAAAGCACATCACAAATTTTGGGCTTTCCAGTTGCTGGTATCCGACCTACAGGCCCCTATAACCCATGCTCCCTTCTCAGGAAGCCCAGCAGAGATGCAACTGAGCTTGTACAGAGCCAGCCTGGTTATGAGGGAATGCATTTGCAAGGGCTTGCATAGATGATGTTTCTACCTCACCCTTGGGAAGCCATAGAAGAAGCCAGTACCAAGTGCTTTGCTCTTATTGATGTTTAGGTGGTCGATCAGTCCTCTCTTCTCAGCCTTCAGCAGCTCCCTGACACTGCTGAGCTCCAGAGAGCATCACATGCACTGTACATGGCTGCTGCTCCTGCATGGAAGCAGAGACCATTCAAGCCAGGTCACACCTCTTCTTTCTATGTGAGTTATGTGCAGGAGAGATCACTCCTTGGCTTTCTCCTCTGTCAGAATTGCTGCTGCAACTGGGTGAAGGCAGGAGTATCAGGGGAATGAATCTGAGAGACTGTTATTGTTGCATCTCTAAACAACCTTTTCTGTATTCTCTAAAGACTCTCCAGGAGCCTGGTTATGAGGAGAAGATGCATCTGGAAAAGGGCAGCACAGCAGGATAAACTCTGCCAAGTCTAAAATTAAACTTAAGAGGGCTTAAGAGATCAGTTATACAAGATATACAAAAATAACTTAGAATAAATCCTAAGAGGAACAGTGAAAGCACTGCTGACATCTTCAGTTCTCAGTGAGATGCATGTCTGCATGATGAAGTATGAATGTGGTCTATAAATACCACCAGTGGTTACCATTGAAAATGGAAGAGGGGTTTCCAGTGCTCCAGCAACAGGGACAACAAAGGGAAGTGTTCTTCATCAGGAACTGCTTGTGCATTTCTTACCACAACCTTTAGCAGTAAGCCAGGCACAATCCAGATATCAGCCGTTGAAAATGAAGGGACCTCCCTCCAGGCTTTTCTTTGTCTCTCCAACCAATTCTTTGTGCTATGGCTCCAAAAGGCCTTCTTCTGGACACTCCAGCACTTTCTGTCCGTATAATTTAAACTTGAGGGCTCAGCCACAGCCAGGTCTCCTGGGAGAGATGGTGTTCTGGGCAAGCTGATTTGAGGGAGGATGAGGATGCGCATTCCTCCAAATAACCTGTGATCACACTCTATAAATCTGTCCTGCAGACAAGGCACCTACAGCCAAACACTATGGTATCATTTGCTTCCTCGGTACCCAGGCATTTCAGAAAGTCTTTGTACCTTACCACGTATCCGAAAGGCACCGTATATCTCCAGCTCTCAGAACAGCCTGTGCAGTTTCTGTAGTAGCAAATGCCATTGCCCTTTGGCTGTCTTGGGATAACATGCCAGAGAGTCAGGTATTTGTTAAAGGTTTCCAGTAACAGATTCAGATTCACTGCAACCACAGGTGAGAGATGACTCAGAGCTAACCATTTAGCTTGAAGTCAGGTTAAGATAAAACTGCAATAAAAGTAATAGCTTAAATCTGAAAAAAAGCCCACGAAAAACAATCCAAAACTACATATCCATATGGCTAGAATAAAAATTCCTGCTTAATCTGCTTATATCAAGTTCAAACCTAAGGGTCACTCTCCCTGTATTCCCTTGATTTTATGTCAATGCAGTCCTGGCACACCTCATGCCCGAAGACTCGGAGTCTCTGGATGAGAATGATTCTTACTTACAGCAAGTATCTTTTACAGTCCACCTATTTATCTTGATTTCTTGGTGAGGGGCCTAAAGTACACCACGTGTGAAAAGAAGTTGAGGGAGATGGGCTTGTTCATGTCCCTACAAAGATGACATTGCAGCTAGAGAGGTTCAGGTTGGGCTTAAGGAGACACTTCTCCAGATGGGTGGTGCAGCTGTGGGACCAGAGTGGGGAAGAAACTCCATCCTTGGAGTCACTAAAGAATGGGTATCATCATCCTTGAAGTATTTCAAGATTTGGCTGGGCAAAGTCACAGATGACCTGATCAGGCATTAGTGATAGTCCTGCTCTGAACAGGAGGCTGGACAACAGACCTGCAGGGTCCTGTCAACACAACGCTTCTGGGATGCTGTGATTTCTGTGATCCAGTAGGTATCTTTCAGTCTGTCTGCTCCAAAACTTAGTAATTACTCATCTGACATTTGTTCTGCTGAGATATGGACTGCCCTACCTACCTCTTTGGAAACAGAGATGGTCCTTTGATAAGTCAAGTGTCACTTCCTTTTCTTGACTGTCCTCTTGGCAGTGCCTGGATTCACAGAGTAGAAGTCCTTCCCTATGCCATGGAGGTATTAAAACGTTCATTTCAATGTCAGGTGAATCTTTTCTTTTATAGCAATTTATACATAGACAAACAGACTGCAGACTATGTACACAACACTTTTTAGCATATCTAGCATAGGTTTAAAACTGCAAAAGATTAATAAATGTGGTAATAATAGCATTAAAATAATAGATTGTTATTTCAGCACAGCTATCATTTGAATGGTTATGTTTATCTCAATCCCGCCAACAAAGACACCAGAAAGATTAACATTTTATATTGGTTTGTACATAGAATTAATTACAACTAAGAAAAAATTACACAGTGACTTCAACATGACTACAGCGTTTCACTGTTTATTCTTCTTTAATGGCTTGCATTTCCTGAATCAGTCTTTTGACTGTGCAATTAAAATTGAGCAAAACTAATAAAAAACCCTCCTCCTGAAGCTGTCTTTTCATCCATTAAAGTCTTCAAGGGCAAAATGGAGTCTTCTCCATTACCTCTGGCAGGCATGCTGTGCTCTGATTCCTCAAGACAGGCAGGCTATTGGTCACCTTGGAACATAGCATATTGAAGGAAACACATACACTTGGTGAATGGGTGGACCTAAAGCAGAGGAATTATTTTATAATCTCTGATTGCCTGAAGAAGTTAAAAGAAATGTCAAAACATCCACCCTTAAGATACATTTCCTGCTCAGAAGCAATATGCTTCTCCAGAATGCCTGCAAAAACGGAGGTGGAGTCCTAAACAGAGAAAATTTAATTTACAATGATAAATGGATGCAGCAGCCACAAAGCAGAGGGGGTGGCACAGGGCTGTGATGGTCATAGCAAGGCTGCCTGCTTTTTTAACATTTTTTTTCAAATGCTATGCAATTGCTTAGCTTGCTTTGTGCTTCAGGTTTTATCTGTCCTAGTCACATGTGTCATATCTACCTATTGAGACATCTGTGCCCATGGCAATGCTTCCTGGCACTGGGAGGTTTGGTCAGACCCTGGTGGGGCACAGGCGTTGTCCTGATGACAAGAAGAAGGAGGGCAAAAATGTTGGTGAAAGAGGCCTGTGCCCTCCCGATGCTACTCCATCTGGAGTGCAACACTGTTCCCAGCCTTGGAAAAGAGCATCACTGACCCAACAAGGACCCAGCCATGAGAGAAAACAATTTTATTCACTACCTGTATTTCATACTCTTGATCAAGGGACTGTAATCCTAAGGGAGAGTCCAGCCTGATGAGCATAGCTTTTTTGGTCCAGGCTGGAGGCAAAGGTAAATGTCTGATCTCTGTGTGAGACAATCTAGGGGTCCTGTAGCATCTCAGGTGGGAGTGATGGCAGAAACACCAGTCAGAAAGAGGAGGCAGAGGAAAACCAATCAACTTCTGTCTCCTAAAATAATCCTTTTCTTTTAAAGGTGAAAAATGTCGAAGTTTTATTGACCTTGCCCCGGCTTCTGAAAAAGGTAAGACAATACAGTCAAGGCTTTTTACAAATTTCATCAGTAGCATTTCTTGCTGTACTTCAGTGCCAGGGGAAACATTATTTCCTAAGCACGCAAGGACCTACATGTCATCCAGATTATGTAGATGCAGGTGAAACAAATGCCAAGGGTTTAAGACAGCTGTTTACTCAGTTTGTGCAGATCTGTCATTTCTCTGATGCATTTTCTCTTCATTCAGCTGAATTCTTTTCAGGAAAATAAAGATTTACATTGTAACACAGGCATTTCCCATCTTCCTCTAGTGAGGAAGGACATGCTACACAGCTTCCTTGGGCCATGAAGAGAGTTATGGTCACAAAACTGCAGTCACAGTACCAAATGTCTCTTTGTGAGATGGAATCATGTAGATGCTTGCTTGATTGATTTACCCTCGAAAAAGAAATATATTCAAGTGCAAAGAGGCAGGCTGCAAAGGTTTTCTTCACCCTGATACTGGAGCTGTAAATTCTCAATAGCAATTTAACCCATATTTCAAAATAGTATTTATCAGGAAAAAAAATGGGTGGAGTTCAATTAACAAGCTGGGCAGCTGAGCCCATCCTGCTCCCGGCTCAAGGCAGAGCACTCTGCCCACAGCTGAAGAGGTGCACAAGCCTCGCAGTGTCCTTCACACTAACAGTGGGCTTCTGGACAATCCAAAGGACAGACAAGAATTCATGTTTGTACAAAGAAGCGATATATTTTGTTAGATCACTTGAGACAATCACAAAACCTTTTGGGCACACGGTACCTTCACCAGGTCTGACAAAGAGGCAGTAAGCGGTGTAAGGAACGATTGATCTTAGTTTGTCTGAATTGCTGATCAGCTGGACAAATGGATAAAGAAGGGCAATTACCATTAATAAAACAGTGGGGTATTTCAGTGAGAGAAATAGTAACAGAGACAGTCTCTGTGAAATTCATTGTAAGTAAACCTAAATAAATTATGCACATAAGGGAAGAACAATCCTGGGATTACAGCCACTAACAGGCACTGAGCTGAATCTTACACACACAAATGGGACCCTGGGGCATAACCGTTCTTATGAAACCACTAGCTCAATACTCAGCAGCGGTCAAAAAGCAAACTATCCGATAGAAAGCATTAGGAAAGGACTTGAGAACAGAGCAAAGACTATCCTGTTGCATGAGGACTGTATACACCTGAGCGCCTCGACTTATATAAAATATAGTGTGGTATTTTGTCCTTTCTAGTCCAGCTCACAGAACAGCAGCAAGGATAATCAGAGTTCTGGAAGGTTCTGTACCAGGATGAGACTAAGACTCTTCAGCCCAAAGGAGAGAGATGTGAGAGGAGATATGATTAACATTGATAAAGATGTAAGAGGAATTGAAAAGGCATCTGGGGAATGGTAGTTCACTGCGTTTCCCACTACAAGGACTAGTGGGCATTGCATGACACCTTCAGGAGACACACTCAAAACAAGCACAGTGTGTCTGTTATAAAGGCAATGGGATGTTTCAGCGCTTTATCCATTTTCTGTGAATGTTCATTATGGTGCATAATGCTTGGTTGTATCACCCACACACTTTCCAAAACAGCATTTAGTGCTTTACTTTAAGTATTTCTTTTGGTTGTGTGAAACACTGTCAGCAATTTTTTTTTTAGTTGAATTTTGGAGTTGCTGCACGATGTCAGTGTATATTTCTAGACTATTCTATTTTTCCTTTTTGAGGAAGGAAGGCTCTTTTGGTGTAGTGGTATAAAGAAACTTATAACTATTTCTGAAGTCTTGCCATGGAGTTGTAAGGCATATTGACAGAAAGAGAGGGGAATGCTCAGTCAGAGATGGGAAGTGCTGACCATCTGACTCATAAGCAACTGTAGATCAAGTTGGACACTGCACCATAGTTAATCTGAATTTTTCAGCATCAGTCTTGTACTGTGCAGAGATACTGCACACTGCCTTACAGAGATGATTTAGAGTTTCATCATCAAAAAACAAACCAAGGAGAAGGAACCATTCCTATCTAGTACACAGGTGCTCCCCTCCCCCATCTCCAATGCAAGTGTTATGTTCATAAAGTAGGACATACAGACCTGAGGCTGTTGAATTCACTGCAGAATTCAACTTCTTGACTTCTTTTCTTCTCTTTTCCAGATAAAAAGAACTTCCTATTCCTTCAATTTCTTCATCCCCTCACTCAGCCTTGACTTTAATGGTCATAGGCTTGTCAACTACTCAGTTACACCCAATGCAGGGACAGATTCTTGATTCTTCTTCCAAGTAAATGAGATATGATAAAATGCATTGAATATAAAAAGTGGAGCTCAGTTATACAAATATATTGTAGTTTTCCCAGTCAGTTGTGTAACTGGGAATTTTTGGACTAAACTTATCTGCGCAATGAGACTTCGGCTTATTCAGTTTCTGCACACATTATTAGCATCACTTACCACTAAAACATGGTTGTTCAAGGTTTCGATTATCTAAAATGTCTCCATGTGCACATGCTCTGTTACTGCAACTGAGCACTCGGGCAGCTTTCTAAAGTTTTCTTTTCAGTTGGTTTTCCCTGATCCAAAGACGACCTCTATCTAACCAACTTCTAAGCTAAATATAGTCTGTTGAAATACCTCTGAGCACATCATCTTTCACTTTTAAGGCATGCTAAAAGGAGGCGTGTCCTTGGTTTTGGCTGGGATAGAGAACAAACTTAGTCTAGTTGTGTAGCCAGTCTCTTCTAGAGTCCCTCACCAATTAACACCAAGTCAGTATAAAACCTCTGCATAATATTTAAAAGCTTATTAGCATAGAAAAGCTAATCACTGAAACATTCACAGTAAAATAAACCATCTATGGTAAGGCCTAGCTACATTCTTACCACAAATCTTGAATTCATAAATGAAAATATTTCTTATTCTTACTGTAAAAAAGTAATAACTTCGCTTGAGCTTCCTATCTTTAATCCGTTTGTGCTGATCTCTAGTGTAGCTGGATACTATATTTCTAATCAGATATTAAACCTTTTCCATATATCGCACCAATGACATCTACTAAAAGGAGGCAGCAAAATTTGGGGCAAACAGACCCACAGTATGGTATAAATAAGCATTTCCAACCCACACTAGGAGAGCTCTTCCCTGCATTTAAGGCAGCTGCCAACAATCTGTCAGAACCGTGTAAGCCTAACATTGAATTTATTAGCTGTTGCTGGTTGTTAGTGCCAAATCTGCTTAACAAAATCAGCTTGGTGATGGTAGATAATAACTAGAAAAAAAAATTTTCTGTGTCCACAAATATTTCTTATGACAGTTTCCATTCACTGTCGATAAAGGTTGATAGGGCAATAGCTGGTTACGTTGGCCAGGACTTTTAACAGGCTTTCACAGAGCAGCTGTTGTTGGGTCCCATGAAGTGTGCTACTTTCTAATCTTCATTACAGATGTGAGTAGTAAGGTAGCAAGTATTTCCAAAAGGAGTTGGAAGGAAACTGCCACAGTAGGCTGGACCTGACCTTTCAGTTCTGAATTGCTCCTCAGATCTTCTCCACAAGACTTAATCCAAGTTTTGTTCCTGCT